AACACCAGAACAACACAAACACACCTTAAACACACAAATCACTTGGCCTTCTCGAGCGAAGTAATCGATCCCGACGAAATGGTGATGTCATCATACCTCTGAAACAAATACGCCAGAAAAACAGCCGCCGTCATCGGCACCGCCTCCGCAGCAGCACACTGCTTGTTCGAAACACTCGGGCCGCCCGACCCGCTTTGCGGCCCGTTCGACCAGAACAGATACTTCAACAACTCATCACCTCCATTCCTCTTGCTAAACCTGTCAAATACAAACGTCTCGGGATTTTCAAACACTCTTGGATCCTTCATCACGACCGGCTGATAACCGCACAAAAGCTCCCCTTTCTTTATCCCGTAAACCTTATCGTGCGAACTCAGGTCGAAATCTTTCCGGGCCCGCGCGAACTGCGACGGGACGGGCGGGCTCAAACGCAAAGTCTCGTAAACGAACGAGTTTATCAAGTCCATCTCCTTCACCGTCTCGAAACCGAGCGTTTTTTTTCCACTCGAAAGCTTCTCCCGAACCTCCTTCCGCAGCTCGTCGTGCGCGTTTTTTTGCGCACCGAGATTGGACAAAAGAGTCGGGAGGAAAATCGAGAAGCCCCCGAAAGCGTTGAAGCCCAAGATAAAGAGTAGGTTGTGGACGGCCTCGTCTTCGGTTAGACCGAATTCGGTTTGGGCCCGCGAAACTGTTTCGCGGGCCTCGGACCTGACGAAGCCCGATAGCTTGTGATAGTCGGATTTGACGAGCCAGAAAGGGTAGGTGAAGGAGTGGAGGAAGATTTCTTCGAGTGGCTGCAAGATGTTGATGCTGATTGTGGGGAGGAGTTGGAGGGCGAGCCACTTGTCGAGCATTATGTGGCCGGATTTTTGGATTTCCGGGACAGAAGTGGGGTCGGCGTCGAGGAGGCATCGGGTGAGGAAGGAGAAGAGGAACTGTTGGAGAGGGATGAAGTAGCCGAGAGTGCCGACGGGACCTGAGCTGGCGAGTTTCGAGTCGATTTCGGTCCACATGGCGTCGAGGGAGGTTATCATGGATGGGACCCACTTGGAGGAGCTGCGTTTGAGGATGTCCAGGGCGAAGCTCTTGATCTGTTCTTGTGAAAAAGATGACATTTTTTTTTTTTGGGACATAATTTGCGTGAGAGATGACTATTGAGGTAAAAGAGAGAATTGAATTATTGAAGTAGGAAGTTTTATATTCTAATTACATCCTTCTGAACTATTTGATATAGTTAACGAGGTTTAACTAGGCAATTTATATTAAAAGTTCATAAAATTACGAAAAAACAAAAACTATTTATCAAGCCTAACGAGTCTTAACAATCGAGCTAAGCTTAACTAAAGGAGTTAGATCGTTTATAAAATGAGTAGAGCGGAGCTCGCGAGCGTTTCGTTTCATTTAATAGCTCTAATATCACATGATGAACAACATATTATGATGTAACAAATAAGTACATTAAATACTTAAATTGAATATCCTTTTTTCTCTTTTGCGAATAATAATATAGATTAATTTTGGAGAATTTTCAATGAATTCATTTATAGAAATGACAATATTAGAATGAGCATTTACGATTCGTAAATTACGAATAGTGGTAAGAACCTATG